CAATGATTATTATATTATTAAAGTCTACCTTCAATAAAAAACCGGACAAGTGTGAATCGGACTCGCTCACCGAGGATCCCATACAAATTTGACAGTACATATTATAAATATAGTATGTCCCCGGTTTGTCTTTACATGAGAAAAAAAAACATTTTTAATATTGACATTTTGTTAAAACTGCATTCTTCATAAAAACTTTTGCGTGTTCTAAAATGGTTAACCCCGTTTATGATTTTTCAAATTTCTATACCGTTTAAAAAAAATAAAAAAAACATGAAAATATAGTTGAATTTGTTGAAGACCTAAAAATAAAAAGGCGTTTCTAAGGTAATATCATTTAGATTTCATTCTTTGATTGGTGGTTATTACCATTAATCATATTTTTTACTGTTGTGAAGTATCACATTTTCCGATAACTATTATCACCCTTTCCGTAAAAACAAACTAAATAAATGTTGCACTTTTTAAACATTTTAAAACAGCAAAAGATATGACGTTAATGGAAATTAATAATAACCGTCTATCAAAGAATGAAATCTAAATTATATTGCCATAGAAAAGCCTTTTGATTTTTAGGACTTTTTAGGAACAAATTCAACCACATTTTTATGTTTTTTTTTAATTTTCTCTAAAACGGTATAGAAATTTGCAAAAGTATAAACGGGACTAACAATCTTAGAACAAGCAATTTTTTTTATGAAGAATGCATTTTTCTCAAAATGTCAATAATAAAAATGTTTTTCCTCTTGTAAAGACAATCCTTGGACATACTGTAGAGTTTAAATGAAGACTGCCGTATATCCACAACACATAGTATTTTTTCGCATTAAAATCGTTAATATTGGTTAAAAGAAATGTATAAGAGTGTTTTGTATTTGAAATTATAATTTAGAGTGAAATTACATGATTGCGCGTATTTTAATGCGTCCCTCACAATAGATGGCGCCTCTGACTTGGAACCGTTTTTCAGTTAGGTAGTTTCCGTTCTTTTATTTGTATGTTCTTTGGTTATTATTAATTTTGATTAACGTCACATTTATTGCTGTTTTTAAAGAATCACATTTTCCCATAACTTTTATCACACTTTCCATAGCACTAAACTAAATTAATGTTAGGTTAGGTTAGGTGCTACTTTAACATTTTTAAATAGCAAAAAATATGACTTTAATTGAAATTCTATCATTAAAAATATATAAAAGAATGAAAACAAAATTATATACAAAAAATAATAAATAATTATATTTTCATGTGTTTTTTTATTTTCCTCTAAAACTGTATGGTAACTTTGAAAAGTATGAACGCGATTAGCCATTATAGAATAAACAAAAAAAGTTCATGGAGAATGCATTTTTCTTAAACTGTCAATAATAAAATTTTCCTTGTATTTTTTATGATTTATTTACAAATGTATAGTTTTCAGACTTTTGTTTATATGTATTTGTATTATAATACGGTATTACTTACCAAATTGTATAGTTCTAAGGTAAAGTAAAATACCTTATAAATTTTGTTTCCCTTGAGAGTATCAAAATATACTTTTTTTGCAGCATAAGCGGCCGTATATTTTTTACGTTAATTTAGCAATTTGATTTTTTTCACAGCTTCAAAGAACTCTAGATTTGAGTATATGGTATTAATTGCTTTAATTTCAACTCGGTACCTCAACGCGTTCCTAAGATAGAGGGTCTTGACAGACATACAGGCAAAAAAGTGATTCTATAATGTTTCCGTTTTATTTTTTCTATTGAGGTACGGAACCCTAAAAAGATCAACTTTTTCATAAAATACCAAGAGATATGGGTAAACATTTGGCAACTTAAAAAAATAGCAGTTACATGAAAAAAGTGATTTATAACATTCCATTTTTAAAATATCAGATACTGAATACATAATTTCAAAATTTCAATCTTCACTTTCACGTTTTGTTTCATAATCTTCGCGGTTATGATGCCCCTCTTAATTTATTCAAAATTATGTAACCCTAAAACTAATTTCGACATATTTTTACTCAAGTCCGACCGGTTTTATTTGGGTTATGAGCCCGCTAATTCCTCCGACCCGATGCTCCAAATTCCTCTTAACTCCTGGGATAATATTATTCCCTTGATAACGCATTAAAGTTCCGGAGAGCGATATAAACTGAGCGAGAACGGGTGCATATAAAGCGGGATAGAAACGGTGTTGGAGAAAGACGTTGCTCAATATCTTGCAAATTCTCTATTGTCGATGACGTTTACAACGTTGGCATTTTAGAGCGAAGGAATCTGCATAATTTTAATTTAGGACATCGGGTGTGAGGGACTCTAGCTCCCTCGCACCAAATTACTAGAACAAATTAGCTGGGTATACATTAGCAATTACTTTTAAGTTAATCCGTAAGCGGATACGAAAAGCGAAAAAGCCAAGGATGTGATATTTTACGATTCATTGAGGCAATTGTTCTGATTTTAGTTTCCTAATGTAGCTTTGCATGTCGGTTGTCAATAATGTTTTCAGAATTATTAGTAGGTAGTTTCAGATGGCTAATATACTTATATGTTTAGAAGCATAAGAATTGGTAAGGTTAAATATAAAAAACACTATAGTAATATGTAGTATAGTGTGTTTTAAAGTGGAAAACAAGGATATATTTTGAGACAAAATAACTTCTCGAACTGGCAGTGTCTTTAATTTTGATATTTTACACAAAGCAAACTTTTAATCAGATGTATCACTGACCATTATCAAATGTAAACTAATCTAAATCCTAAATATCCTCTTTTTGGGATATTTAGAATTTAAGACAATACTCTCTACTATGATTTGTATTTGAAAATCCTAAGAAAACGATAGCCATGTATTACTACCGTCATCATATCAAATAAGTAATACATTTATTTTTATTTGATTGGATAATTACTTCTGTTTCTCGTCTATTTTTTTCCTTTTCATCTACTACATATAAAACCGTCTACTTTTTCGTAGAAACCTCGAAATATAGGCTAAATAGTTGGCAACATCTTTAAAATCTTAATAGTTACATAAAATATGTTATAACACTGTAGTTTCTAATATTCCAACACATAATTTCAAATTTTCAATCTTACACGTTTTTTTTCATAATCTTGGCGGCTACATAATATGCGCCTTTAAATTAATGCAAAATGATTAAACTTTAAAACTAATTTCGACATATTTTTACTCAAATCGGACCGGTTTTATTTGGGTTATGAGACCGCTAATTCCTCCGACCCGATGCTCCAAATGCCTCCTAACTCCTGGGATAATATTATTCCCTTGATAATGCATTAGAGTTCCAGAGAGCGATATAAACTGAGCGAGAACGGTTGCATATAAAGCGGGATAGAAACGGTGTTGGCGAAAGACGTTGCTCAATATCTTGCAAATTCTGTATCGGCGATGACGTTTACAACGATGGCATTTTAGAGCGAAGGAATCTGCATAATTTTAATATAGGACGTCGGGTGTGAGGGACTCCTCCGCGCCAAATTACCAGAACAAATTAGCTGGGTGTACATTAGCAATTACTTTTAAGTTAATCCGTAAGCGGATACGATGAGCGAAAAAGCCAAGGATATGATATTTTACGATTCAACGAGGAAATTCTTCTGGGTTTAGTTTTCTAATGTAGCTATGCATGACGGTATTCAATAATGTTTTCAGTATTACTGATAGCTAGCTTCATTTGGCTAATGTGTTTATACGTTTAGCAACATAAGAATTGATAATGTTAAATATAAAACTATAGTACTATGTAGTATAGTGTGTTTTAAAGTGGAAGACAACGCTATGTTATGAAACAAAATAACTTCTCGAACTGAACAAAGCAACATTTCGATCAGATGTATCACAGGCCATATACTGATGCTTCCAAAATCAAAACGGACAAGGTTAGGCGTATTTAGGCCGAAAACTAAATTCTCCGAACCAAATCTACGCCATTGAAAGATGCGTACAATTTCTCTTAGATAGGAACTATCGGAAATAGGGCATAGCCGTCTTCTCCGATAGCCAAGCAGCACTAAAAGCTATCAAATCAGTAATTTTAATAAATAATTTATTTTTATATAAAAAAATGAAAGTACACGATAATATAATAAATTCGGATTGATTGACGTATTCAGTTGTTTTTGGTCCCTTCCTAGTTCACCGGAAATAACTACAATTATGATTTTTAAATGTCACTATCGGTATATTTTTACTCCATTCGATAGAAAATGACACTATGAATAGAATGACATATATCATATGTCAAGTTTTGGTCATTTTGCTTAAAAATTTAATTTTAAATTTCAATCTAAAGTACCACATGTTAAAAAGCTGGGTTAAAAACGCTAATCTTTAATCAAGGAGACTTGGAAAAATAGATTTGATCGTCTAATGTTTTTTGTGTTTTATCCCGGTTGATTAAAAGATGCCCAAATCGAATTTGTAATCATATCTCAATTTTTTCAAATGGAACAAGCGTAGCTCATTGGCATATTTGGAAAAAACATTTTTTTACGGATAATTTGGTACCACAAACTCGTCAATTGACACTTCGAGTCAAATTGTCGTTATGAACCATATGTTACAATTTCAAATAAATCATATGCGAAAATTTCAAAAGTTCACACATGATGTGTCATTCCATTCAAATTCACATTTCTATCGAATAAACTAAAAATATACTGAGGCTGCCATTTAAAAATCAAAATTTCAGTCATTTCCGGTGCAGCAGGAAGTGACCAAAAACTTTTGAATACATTAATCCATCCTAATTTATGTCAACACCAACTAACATACCAAATTTCGTTTTTTATCTGTAAAAATAAAAAGTTATAGGAGTGATCCACTTTTGAGACGCACGAGGTATACTATAAGATAAGCAAAGTACACGGACTTCCATGCTAAAAGTCAACAGGCTTATTATGAATAGGCCATATGGTAATCAAACTGTTTTTGCAACCAGTCTAATATATCCCAAATATAAGTAATTTTATAGTTTCTTTATATTTCAGCTTGGATCGTTATTACCGATAAATACACCTACCCCACCGACTACTAGTGCACCACAACAACATCCACCATTTGAAGCAAGCAATCTCATTAATCAGCTGCCAAGTTCACCAAAAGGAGTAGTTCCATTCGCCTCTGTAAGTACCCTCTTTATTCTACACTAACTGATGGCAGCAACTGCAACGTTGTTCGCAATATAATTTCCCTACGTAAAACAATAATGCGGCTAACCTAACCTAACAACAACTCGAGTTTTTTTTTGCGACAAAAGTATTTGAATAAGTTTTTGAAATAAAATTTATATATAAACAGTGGTTCTTAAAATTTAAGCATTTTTTTTATTATTATATGGATGAGATGATACATATAGAAGTAGCATAGAAGTGCTACGTATTTTTGGAGTCAAATTAGGTTCATTGAACAACAACCTTATAACAAATGTGCTTCGTTCGTCCGTTAGAGGGCTACAAAATTTTTAAGATATTTTAAGAACCGTTGTTCTGATTTGTATGTGATTTAGTGTACCTCCGTTTTGCTAACAAAAAATATACAAGGATTTCCAATATTCCGTGAACATAGAACAACTACGTATTTTTTTACCACCTACGTTACCTGGACCCAATTTACCTTTATATAAAACTGCCTCGTTTGTCCGTTAGAGGGCATAAATGAAAAATAAACCCGAACGTTAACTAATTTAAAATTTATAAAGCCTTTTGTCAAGTATCATTTGTGATACTAACATAAATTTCCATATTTTCGCTAACTAGATTTCTAGCGCATACTAGATTTTAGGTGCTTAGTTTGTTACATAGCTTGATGTGACAAGAAACATTTTTTGGAAGCAAAAAGTATGCACGGTGGCGTTTTTTACAAGAAAAAAATGTAAATAATTCTACTAAATGAAAATGCTTTCTACTAAAATGTATGTAGGATTGGTGGTAGTTTACATCCTTCCCGTATTTTTCTTGATTTTGTGAAAGTAGAATGTTAAAGCACTTAGCAAAACATAGGTACACTAAATCTCATTCAAACTGGAATAACGGTTCTTAATTAGGCAATAATAAAGACCTCCTACTCTGGTTGCCAGCTCACTAAGGGATAGAAGGCAATGAAAAAGCAAACGATCTAGCTAGAAAAGGAGCGAACACTCCACTAACTGGACCAGAACCGTTCTGCTTTCCAAGCGGAAACTAGCTTAAAGCGGAACTGAAGGACCTGAAGGACTCCATCCGTAACCTGGAATGGGAATCCTCCAACGGGCTAAGACACTTGAAAAAGTTCCCCAGAACTTACGACCAAGAAAAATCAATGATCTTCCTTGATTTAAGTAAGAACAATCTTCGGATTGTCACGGGGTTTCTAACAGGGCACTGTCTCAACGAACACCTCAATAGATTGAAGCTGAGAAACAACGGCGAATGCAGATTCTGTGAGAAAATTGGGGAAACACCAGAACACCTTATCACTCAGTGCGCCGAGATGACAACCGTTTGTGCCGTAAACTTTGGTACGGCTTATGTCGAAGATGGAGAGCTGGCCTCTGTGGAACCATCTCAGATACTGGTTTTTGTCAAAGCACTGAGAAATTTCGGATTTTCATTCTTTTTTTGTCAAAGCACTGATGACTGTATGACCCGCTAGAACTCAAGAAAGGAGAACACACAATAGATCTGTAAGGCCATGGTGTTAATCCTCCTTAATATTCTACATTCAACGGTTGTTAAAATTTCTTAAAATTTATGTTTATTTTTTTTTAAGTTTGATGCCCCCTAATGGACAAACGAAGTACTTTTGTATAGAGGTAAATTGTGTCCAATAAACTTATTTTGATTTCAAAAATACGTAGTATTTCTATGTCCACGAAATATTGGGATATCCTGTATAAGTGAATCCATTAATTTTATTAAAACACTTTGGGTAGACAAAGACTATATAAAAATTAGTTTTTGTTCCTATAAATACATTTTTGTCGAATCATTTCACATTTTCCAAAATACACAAATATCTCTCCAGTATAATTAATTAAACCTGCTTCTTTTCCGTCTGCTATCGTTTCGCCATTTAATAAATACAAAAGAAGCGCCGAAATGAGCAAAACAAATTAAACAATACCGTTTCCGCTTTGGGTTTTGTTCGACACAAAACCGCTTGTACGAAAGTCCCAAGCTATATCGGGGCGGCACAAAGAAATTTTCTGTCCGATACGATGGCCGGGCTTTCAAATTAGTTGCGTCATGTGTTTGATCTGTAATTCGCAATGGAATTAAATGAAGGTGGGGACGATATAGAGAAAAGAGAGATCGAGTAAACATGACGTGTGTGGATACAGGTTAAAAGTAAGTAATATGCTTTCAGAAAAAAAAATCGAGACATTGATGGGCTTCCGGTAACTGGTACTAATTAAATTTAGTATATTAACTATAAGACTAGGCAAAGACACAATTAGCCAAAGATAATAAAGTCCTCCTACTCTGGCTGCCCGCTCACCAAGGGATAGAAGGCAATGAAAAAGCAAATATTAGAGCTAAAAAAGGAGCGAAAACTCCACTGATTGGACCAGAACCGTTCTGCTCTCCAAACAGAAACCAATTTAAAGCGGAACTTTCGAAAGCGAAAAACCAAATTTTTAAAGCAGTCCTATCACTGATCCTCCTATTACCATCGCCGGAGAGTCCGTTACGGGTAGCGGCTAGACAGCCAACTTTTGATCCATCAGGATATTTCATTTTGGACAAGGATTTACATTCCTTTTCATTTTTTCGTTCCATTATAAGCTTAAAGCTACCTAAAATTCGAAATTTGGATGTAGTGACACATTTATAAATACTTTAGAATTTTGATGACGGCGAGTGACTCACTGGCGAAGTTAAAGAAGTTTGACTAGAAAAAAATCATAATCTTTGAATTATTGTTGGTACATTTGGTACATATTGGATTGGTACATATACAAATAAAATCAGAAGAGACCGCTTTGATGAATTCTAGTTTTCTACCTTTTTCTCGACTGGAAAATCAGTTACCGGTAACGGCTAGACATCTAATTTTTAATCCATAATCATATTTTGAAATTTTTTATTTTTTCTTTTGGTTATAAGCTTCAAGCTATCTAATAATTCGATAATTGACGTTTGTGACACATCTTAGAGAGAAGTAGCTTGGAATTTTGATGATAGCAATGTGAAAATGTCAAAAGTGAGTCAATGTCAAAATTAAAGAAATTTCACAAGCGATAATTCATAAACTATGAGGAATCTAGGAACTATGAGGAAAAGAGATATTTTGGTAACCTAGCCAGCTATAGAATGTCTTCATGTGTAGTGAAAATTAATATTCTTGCTTTATCCACAATGAAGTTACAAGGTGGTCAAAAGTGCCGCTAATACCTTCGAGAAAAGGATGGTACGGCTGTGCTCGATTTGGCGGGGGCACAGCCGATGCCGTGCCCCCAGATACGGCTATGCTCAAGTTGCCCATAGAACTGTCGTGCTCTCAGATGTTGTGTCCTCAATGTAGCCTTGATGTGTGTCATTTTCAGTCAAATGTCAATTTATAAGCATCATCTCATCTTGGGGTTTACAAAAATATATTGTTTTAATTCAGTGTTAAATTTGTATTTAGTCTTAAGGTTTTTTTTTATTTCTGAATGAATGCAGTTGTATAGTTTAGGTCCAATGTATGTAACAAAACGATGTAAAAGATTTTTTTTACAATGAGGAATGGTGACATTCATATTAACTTTACTTTTAGTGCTGTACTGGTGAGATAGTTCAGGCACATTTTGGCTCTGCGTGAAATTGCATACGGTCAGGACATATAAGGTTTTAATACTACACACTTCGGCACAGTATAGATCTTGAGTTGAAGCCAATTTTGATTTCCTTTTGATTATTCTAACATCATAGTTTTGAGCAACTCTAAGCTGCTGGAATGGCAAGAAGAATGGGTAAACGGCTAGTATGGAAGGTGGACGTATACTTTAATTCCTAATATTAGAGAATGGATAGAGAGGCCATATGGTGAAGTAGATTATTATACCACCCAGGCCCTGTCGGGCCATGGGTGTTTCAAAAGTTATCTATTTAATCGAACGAAATCACCAACAAACCACTGTGTATACTATAACGAGTTAGATGATGCTCAACATACCTTGTTCGAATGTCCAAAATGGTCGGTGTTAAGACATCAGTACTATATAGCCATCAGCATTCCTCTTACAGCAGAAACTATGATGAATAGCCTGAAAGGAGGAGAAAAAAACTGGACTCTGGCCTATACAGTGATAAAAGGAATCATAAAACTAAAGAGGAAAAAGCACGTAGAAATACGTAGACAGTCCTCACGTCGAAGAAATGCGAAAGCGGTACCGGCGTGATGTGTCGTAGAGAAGGGGAGGTGGTTTTAGTCAGTAGGAATCTGACACTCCGTCTTATGCAAGATTTCCTCCTCCTCTAAAAAAAAAAAAAGCTGCTGGAAATTAACACTGTACATACCACCCCAGACTAGAATACTCTAAGTAATTGTTCTACAAGAGATTTATGTATAATTATGAGTAGTTTTTTATTTAAAAATTGTCGTAAAATGAAAAATTTGTGTATTAGATATCTAATTTTTTTGCTCAAATATGACACATGTAGGTTCCACTTTAAATGTTTATCTATTACCACTCCAAGATATTTCATCGAATCTATCTCTCTAAATGACACATCTAAGTCCTCCATTTTTATTTCATGAAAATTAGGCCTATTTGCCGATGTAATAGAAATTGCTAAATATGTAGTTTTCTGGAAGTTCAATGTCAATTTATAAGCATCTAACATTTTTAATCTCAGCAAATCCGGACTTTAAATTTCGCTCAGCCATTTCCCATGTGTCGCCGGCAGATATTAAGATCGTATCATCGGTATATGCAATTATTTGTCCGTCCACATTAAGTTCATACAAGGCGTTAATGTATATATTAAACAAAATTGGGCCCGTAAAAAAAACACCGTACCCTGCGGCACCTCATATTCAATTTTCAGTTGAGAACTGTAGATATTACCAATTCTGACACACTGAGTTCTGTCGGAAAGAAACACGTGCAAACTATGCCCCTTACCCCATAGGACTCAAGCATCTGGAATAAAATAGAACA